TTTGATGATAATTTAGTGTTTAAAATCTTTCAAACATTTCTATTCACAAAATAAAAAAAAATTGGTAATTACATTTGTGAACGGATAGTTGTAAGAAGCAAAGAGAAAAAAAGGAGATGAAAGAAAAGAAAAACATATCAAGACAAAAGCTTTAAAAAAATTTCAAAGAAAAAACCGGTGACTTATTTACAATGAAAATTTGAAGTAAAAAAAAAAGGAGAAAAACAAAAAGGTAGAGAAATGTGCTCTGTTGGAAGGAGGAAAAAAAAATAAATTATTATACGGTAATAGAAACTTGAAAAACCAAAGAAGCTGTGGGTGTTTCAGTGTTGTTCATCAACAGAAGCTAAGTTTCGTCTAGAGAGCAAAAAAAAACTTTCTTTCTTTGCTTTACTTTTTTTTTGCTTTCACTAGACGTTTTTCTGATCTTATTGCCCCCCCCTCCCACCCCCCCACCCCCATAGAATACATTCAGTCCCCTCGTTTATTTACCCATTTAAAAGACCTCATTTTTTTTTTCTCAAAAATTTTTCATTCATTTTTTGCCTTCAAAAAATCTGGTATGTGTATGGATGACGATGATGATAATGATGACGATGTCGACGACTACGACGACAACGGCGACGTCGATGTTGATGTCGATGTCGACGACGACGACAACGACAACAACAACAACAACAACAACAACAACAACGATGATGATGATAGTTTGTTGGGGGAGAGTCTGTTTGGGAAAATTATAAATTTTCATTGTTAGATTTCAATGTTTTCTCTTATGCAATTTGTTTGTTTACATTTGTTCTCCAAATAGACTTCTAAAACGGCGCTCAACAAATTTTTGACAGACAATTCAAAAAAGTGTGTCGATTTGGGAATTTTCTGAAGTACAAAAATGAATGAATGAATGAATGAATTGAAGAGGCAGTGGGCCAAATCGAGAGGGTGCATGAGAAGAGGCTCGACAGTAGGAGAAATGGAGAGAGACAGACGGACAAAGAGAGGGAATAAGAGAGAGAGAGAGAAGAGAGAGTGCTGTCAGAAGAGATCGGCTCCAATAAGTCACTAGCTTTGTTGGACAAGAAAAACTAAATAATAATAGCTGTTGATAATAATAGTAACAATGTTATAATGATAATAATAATAATAATAATAATAATAATAATAATAATATAATAATAATAATAATAATAATAATAATAATAATAATATAATAATAATAATAATAATAATAATAATAATAATAATAAGACAATAATAATAAATTAATTTTGAGATTTTTCGGAATCAGATGATAATAATAACTAATAATAATAATAATAATATAATAATAATAATAATAATAATAATAATAATAATAATACTAATAATAGTAATAATAATAATAATCGTAATACTAAGAATCTAATAACAATAACAATAATAATAACAACAACAATAACAATAACAACAACAATAACAATATAAATAATAAAGTATTGTTTTCCTTTCATATATAAACTAATATTTTCTAGATGTATCAATCATAATTGTAATTTTAGTAGCAGTAGTACGGTTTGTAGTAGCAGTAAATAATAATAATAATAATAATAATAATTATAATTATAAATATAATTATAATATTATAATAATAATAATAACATAAAAAGAAAAAAGAAAAATGTGAGGATCATTTGAGAGTGAAATTAAAGAAGGATCATCTGTTTGAGAAAAAAAAAAAAAAAAAAAAAAAAAAAAAAAAAA